CAGCAGGAACAAGCTCCATCGACCGACGCTTTCAGTTGATGGAGGAAAAGTCACGGCTGGCTGATGTTAACGGCTCTTTAATCGGTAAAATGAATCTAAAGACTGATTGATGATTCACCCTCACACAAATCGTCCATTATGATATAATCCATGTGCTGCGCAGTGATCTGTAAAGAGCTCTAATCTGTGGCACTCTGAGCCGACCAGTTCGCTCAGACACTCACCGGGAAGTAGAGGAGCAGAGAGCCGAACAGGATCGTCTCCAGCAGCAGGAGGCCGGACGCCCGGATCCTCTGGGGGGAGGTGGAGGTGGAGAGAAGCACCAGTTAGACTTTTATTACAAGAGATGTGGTGCTCATTAAAATAAAGGCTTTCATGTTATAACCACAAAACTATTATTCTTCACGTAACTGTATATGCTACATTTTTAGACAGGGGGGCTGTAGGCTCATGAAAACATAATCTGCCTTATAGTTGTTTGATGCTGAACCCCAGTGTCATGTTTGTGCTTTTTAAAAGACCAGTAAAAGTGAACCTTCATGAGAATATATATTATCTGACTGACACTAATTCAACACAGGGTAACTGGGAAAAAGATTTCTGTTCATTTCTGAATCTACCTTGTTACAACAAACAGCCAAGATCTAATTAACCTTTTTGCCATGGTGTGATTGAATCAAATGATTTAGATAAAACAAATCAATCCTGTGACTCTCTTCTTATTTCTGCTAAATTAAACAGCAGATTTTTAACACAGTGTATCACGGCTCAGTGCTTGGACCGGCTCCACTGTCGTGCCTCCATCTCGGCTCCTGCTGAGCCAAGAGACCTGACTCACTCGGTTTCGACGGTGCCTGTAGGCCACCAGCATGCTGATGAAGATGAGGAGCATGAAGACCCCCTGGACCGCCAGCACGGCGGCCCTGAGGAGCCAGTCTTCCTGCACCCAGCAGGGGGCACCGTCCTGACAGCTCTTACAGCCCGGCCAGCACGGGAGACAGATGGGCATGTTCGGGTAACACGTACCACCGGCGTCACTCCCGTTCATAGGGCCGCCATCTGCATCGAACATGGACACATGCATCAACACCTACACAGACCCACGTGAAGCGTTCATTTACATGTGACTTACATCTCCACAGAAATGTAAAGTCAACATTTAATGTCTTTAAGGGGTTTATTTTACAGTAGGCACAGGTTGCCTAGCCAGGTTTACACTTCTGGCACACTACTGCAAAAACTTTGGGTTCGATTTCCAAGTGTCCACATGTGGGAAGCCAGTGAGGGATCATGTCCTTATTGCTGCACTACTGCTAGTTGATCAGGTCAGACCTGAGCAGGTAGTGTAAGTCCCTGACATGTTACACACCTGCTAGTGAAACTCATCACTGGCAGGGTTGGATATTTATCTTAAAGCCTTTCTTTGGGGTTGTGCTGGAGGTGCACGAGGATCAGACGTTTTAGTAAACGCATGGCCTGTTAAACTAAAACAAGCTAAAAGATGTTAAATCATTCCATCATGTGAATTGTCTGAGCTAGTGGGTAGGTCTGGTTGTGCATCTCCAACATGTCCTCCTCATATATACTGAAGCGTAATAAACATATGAGATGAACAGTCATAAATCATAAGCTACAATGCTACATCTTGATGAAGTTAAAAAAAACCTCGTTAATTAAAAAATGTAGTCTTAATTGGTGTGATTCATTAGTTAAATAGGCCATAAACAGTGAATGTGGCTTTGACGATCAAAGGTCGAGGCAGTAACCTAAAGAGAAGTGTGTTGAGTCAGTGAACCTGCTGTGGACAGAGGCTGTGATCTACCTACCGGCGTCCTGAGGACCAGGATCAGGGTTGTAGTAACCGTCTCTACAGCGGCAGCAGTACTGACCCAGCCGAAAGCCCCGGCCATGAAGTGGCACACACTGCAGAGGAGAAAGTGTTAGGTTGTCATTCTCTTTATGGGTAATAACAACGAGAACAAATAGTGATACCTTTTTATAAAGAGCTTGATTGGTTTTTAATTTGAAATGACCTGTTTTTAATACATGCAACTTATAATCTACGTGTCCTTTCTTTACTGATTTGAGCCTCAGGGTTGTTGGTCCATGTTGATTAGGTTAAACATCCTCAAACTAAAATGGAAATAATATTATTTTTAACCCTAGAAAGGTTTGTTACACAAACAGTTGCACACATACCCACCTATTAAATGTCCTGTTACAGTAATGACCCATAGCCTTTTAATAATATTATTCTTTTATCACAGGAAAAGCTTTTGTCCAAAGAAACTTTTTTGTCCCCTTCATTCCACATCAGGCATCAGTGTTTTACTGAAGGACACAGGAGAAGCAGGGACTTAAACTACCAACCCTGTGATCATCAAGAAATCCCCAGAACAACATGAGCTAAACCCCTTTTATGATTTGCTTCTTGATGCTTCAGTCTCACAAAGCTATAAAAGTTTTTTTTTCACTATCCACAAACTTCACCATATGATACTGGGCCTGTCTAATTAGTTCATTTATACTGTAAAACACTGGCCCTGATTTAGGATTGTTGTATTTAATCCACCTGTGGATGAATGAATATCATACATAAAGGCTTATACATCACATTAATGGTGGATACAGTAACATGCAGGCTGTAAATATCAAATGGAACTGTTAAATCAACCAAAAAGAGCTAAAATAGGACCAAACAAGTGGCTCGTGTCCCAGGTTCCAGTACTGTTGAAGCTGTGTCACTTGTCTGTCGGTTACATATTCCTCCCTCTCTCACTGCTGCCAGTTTCAGTTTAGCCAGCTGGGACACACACACACACACACACACACACACACATACACACACACACACACACGGAGGCTGTGTGTTAATCTAAGTAAAAAGCTAAATGGATACATAATGCCTTCACTGAGAGCATTATCCTTGTCTGGAGAAATCCTGTTCCCATGTAAACACACACACTGGTCTCACAGATGTATACAAAGAGACATCACCCCTTTATCAGCTGCTGAAGGCTCTAATGGCACAGCCTAAACATTGATGTGATATGGATTACACACAGCAGGCAACTTAATTCCCAGCATGGTCACATCTCAGTTCAACAGATAGTCATAGTAAATCGGGATTTGCTCATCTGTCGTGTTTAAGTTCGTCATCGCGTGGCCACTTCAGACACTTTACTGCTTCATGGCTGCTTCAAAGTTGTTGTAGCTGTTGTTTACATCAATGCAATCAAGGAATTAAGCTCCAGCTGATCCAAGTGTGTTTTCAAGGATTCAAACCTGGTTTTGTTGTAGTTACTGTTATAGGATTTCACTGTACGGTTCGTTCGCTGCTGACTTTTGCATATGTAAAATAAATTATGTTAAGTCATAAACATTATGCGTACATGTAAATATGATTCTGAAGTAGTTTGGAAGAAACAAATGTAGTCATTGTGATTTCTGATGGTCAGAGCTTATTGTCATTATCCCCAGAGATTCCTGATTTGGACTCTTATTTTGAAGATATTTGCTGTATTGTCCTGCCTCACCTGCCGCAGCGTTACTCTCAGTTAGACACACCTGTTGCTTGATGTCTCTGCCTATATTCAGCTCACCTTCCTCAGCCAGCTCGTCCTGTTCGTTCACTCTCCCCTTGACCAGCGACTGGCCCTCTGCCCTGGACACCTGCTGCTCTCTGCTCTCCACTACACTCCTGTCAGGCCTGTTGTTTGCCCGCCTGCTCTCACTTGACGCCACTATCAGGCTATGAACCTATCACTGTGTTTTAAGTCTGTTTCCTTCCCTCACTTCAATCACTGTCAGAGACCTTTTATTATGGATTTGATGCTCAGCTAGAAATGTGAAGTAGCTTGTCTTGCATATGTATATCTGTTGCTGTGACTTCTCTTCAGTGTTTATCTGTAGTTTAGGTTCTGTATTTTCTTGCTTTGTTACACATGGAGTTATACGTATATGGGGAGTCTTAGTTTCTTACCCTCTGCTCTGCGTTTACTTGCCTGCACAGCTGGTTGAGTTTAGTTTCACACCACCTTTCACCACATCCTCCTGGCCAAGGATCAGCATTTGGGTTCCCAAAGACTAAAATCTCACTTGGCTCACTGCTGTGCATCGCTTTAGCATGCAGTAAAGCACCACAGCGGCACTTTGAAATCTTAATTAAACTTGACTTTTAAAACATGGTACCTACATTAAGCATGAGCTGAAGTTGAATTACTCAAAGACAAGTGGACTGTTTCTACTGAGGAGCTCTAACACTGTACACAGAGCGCACAGCCAAAGCAGCTCGTCAGCAGAGCAGCAGCAGCTTTTGTGCTCCGACGCCCCTTTTTGACTGACCCAGTACAGGCTCTGCTCAGCCAAAAGGTTTGAATCCTCTAAGCTGGGTAGGACAGGATGGGACAAAGGAGACCATTTGGGGATTTTTGGGACTGTCCTTTTTTTGTGTTGCAGACCTCTGTGAGTGCACTGTATAAAGGGAAGTATGTCAGCAGGCTGGATTATCACCATAATCCATCAGATCATCCTGCAGCCCGCCACCCAGAACAGTCATCTTTAAATAGACGGCTGAGATAGATGAGAGGTAGGGGCCTGGCCTGGACAGACGGACTGGCAGGGAACAAATTGAAGCAGAGAGGTGGGCTGTGGTGGAGCAGACAGCAGAGTGGGAGTGCAAAGCGGCCAAGGCATAGCAAAGGTTAAAAGGCAAAAACAAAGTAATGAGCACAGGCAGAGGGGGCTTAACTGACAGGTCACAAACAGTTTAGAGTGAATTTGTGTGATGTAACGAAAAGTCAGAACCCTGAGTTAGTAATGGATGTCGGGAACACAGCACATAGAGAGGAGGAGTCTTGACCTTGGAAACAGCAGTTTGCAAAACGCTCTCACCATTAGAGGAGCTGTTCTGGAGCTGTCGATTATCATACGATCTTCTTCTGCAGATGAGTCGCCCATTTATCAGGACGTTATTAACGTTCAAATGTCAGTTTCTTCCTGTGCACAGCTTTAAAGTTGAGGCTGAAGATGTATTGTTGACTTAGGAAAACGAGGCACAGTATGGATGATGAGCATTTAAAGTAGGAGCATGTTTTAAACTATCCAATAAATGATCTCAAAACTGACGCCCTGTGAGATTCAACATTTTTTGCAGGACCATAATTTTCATCATTTGTTGCATGAGCTGTTTTTTGTCTGTAGTGCTGTCGTCGGCCACAGGTTAAAGGTTAGAAGAGGGGCTTTGATACTGAAGAAACCTTATTTAATAGCTTCTGTGGGCACAGGCGGCACAACAGTGCAGTGGTTAGCGCCTTTGCTTTGTAGCAAGAAGGTTCCAGGTTCGAACCCGGGCTGACCCAAGGCCTTTTCATGCAGAATTTGCATGTTCTCCCTGTGCCTATGTGGGTTTTCTCTGGGTACTTGTCCAAAGACAATCAGCTTTGGTTAAACTGTCCATAGGAGTGTGTATTTGTCAGCCTGTGACTGACTGCCAACCTGTCTGGGGTGGACTCTGCCTCTCACCCAGTGTCAGCTGGGGTTGGCTCCAGCCCTATTCAGGTATATGCAGTGTAGATAATGGATGGTTTTCACACATGTTTTCAAGGTAAGTCATCTTTAAAACAATTTGAATTGCATTAACCTGCATAAAAGGTTTGATATATGACAAATCAGTTCCTCTGTAACTGCACAGTGTGGTCTGAAATAGATATACTACAAAATTCAACATTTTTATTCTGTTCCGCTTAAAGAAACCAAGCAGCAGGTCGTTTCTCTCTCTGCTTCCTTGTATCTCTGTATTTACCTCCATGCTGGTGCGGTTGCACTGGTGTGTATCAGCAAACCAGGCGTCTCTTGTTGCACACTGGTCCAAGTCAACGTCTTGAATGTTGACGTCCACACGGATCACACCTCTGACAGAACACACAGCAGGTAAAGAAACAAGAGCGACTCCAAACATCATTCTCCTGCAGCTCTGCAGTTCATCTGTGTGGCCATTGCATGGATTCCCTTTCAAATGTCAGATTATATCCAACACATTTTAATACAATCGCTTATCAAAACTTTCCTCCAGAGTGCTAGAGACCAGCACAGAACCAGAAAGGCCGGTGAAATACCAAAACTGCTGCTGGAACAGAAATACAAGGAGGTTCTTCAAAAAAAAGACATGTTTAATTTTGGAACTTCTGTCCTGCTTTTGAATGTGAAGACAATTTAATCAAAATCTACAAAATGTGGTGAGAAATGTCTCAGCACCATTTATAGCGACCGACAGATCATGAAACGTGAACCACGGGGTTTTTACCTGTACAGCCACGAGCTCCAAGCTTCATGATGTGTTGTAATTAAGTCAGAAAATGACTTAATGACTTAAATGATTGAAAAGTTGCAGACCTTCTACTAGAATGGACATCGTTTACAGACAAGTCTGTAACCTCTCTGTACACACACAGCAGACACATACTGGACAACAGTGGTCCACTGTGCGTGTCTGAATAACCACGTTTCCTTCCGTGATTCAGAGCATTAAAGGCATCATTGGTTCAGTTCATCACACACACAGTTCTTCAGGGACACTGGAAACAAAAACCAGGAACCAGTGACCGAACACTGTGACATGGACCAACCTAATGTCTACGTTTACTGCCATCACCAGCATGAGACGCTCGGTTGTGTTTGTGTCTTACACCGTTTCTCCTTCTATATTGTTTTCTTGCTGACTGTATCTGTTGGTGTGGTTGAAGTTCTGTTTGTGTTTATGCTTGTGTGTGTGTGTGTGTGTGTGTGTGTGTGAAGGCTCTAACCTGAACTCTGGCGTCAGGTCAGGCTTCAGGCCATAGAAAGATGTGGACAGCGTGAGCATCCAGCCAGGAACAAAGCGTCCGTCCTTACAGTCAAGGAAGGGGGTGCTGGCCCAGCGCACCCCACTGCGATTGGTCACATAGCTGTCGCCCCGTCCCCACTTAGGTGTGTCCAAGGTGCTGAGGTCATTGAGGAGCACCCGCTTGGACAGGGCTGCTGTCAGCTGGCTGGACTCTGGGAATTTAAAGCTTCGGTACCAGCTGTCGTCAGGGGCAGGAGCAGGCGGGTGCAGGCTCTCCCAGGCCTTGGATAAGTCCTGGAGGACAATGGTCTGTACCTGGGCTGTTGGGTTGCGGGTGGCACGCAGCACTAGCTGAGGGACTGTGGCGGTGGGGTCAGCGTCAAAAGTGAGCAGGGCCCGCTGAATGAGTACGTCTGCTTCCAGGAGGGCGCGGACCAGGGCGTGGTACCACTCCATGTCTTCCTGCATCGTGCTCTCCCGCAGGTCACTGGCCTGGAAGATCATGTTGAGGAAGTTGGCCGTGTTGGCCAGCGCATCTAGAGTCGGCTGGAGGGGGACGTCAAAGCTGCTGGGCAGGGGCCCCGTCTGCTCTGGTGAGCTGTATGCCCGTGAGCAGTGAGCTGCTTCCAGGGTGGAGGGGTCTCCCGTGTACAAGAAGGACTCTGCTGGTGACCAGTCATCCACATCCTCTGTGGAAGCTTCTGAGGGTGTCCCTGCAAACCCAAAAGGCTCTGGGGGTTTGAAGGAACTGGAGGGGCTGGTGGAGATCTCTGCAGTCTCTGTACTGTTTGTTAAAGAGTCAGTGCTGTTGTCTGCCTTCACTCTGACTCGTGGTGGGATGTCCGGAGACTCCTGCCCTGTGAGGAGAGATGGGAGCAGGAGAAGAAGCCAAACAGGCTCCATCCTGGATTAATTCTGGAGAAGAAGAGCAGCAGGGAGGAGTCACTACTACACCGTCTCTTTGTGGCTCCTGACCACTTTGAAATTCCCTTCCCAGATCAGGGGACGCGCCACATGCTGGCGGGTCTTGGGACTTTTCGCGGAGATTTGTTCATCTTTACATCAACGAGGTGCAGCAGCAGCAGGTGTCCGGGAGGAGCGCGGCAACTCGTTCTGCGCTCTCACTCACGTTCTTTGCACACAACTCCATCTGTGCGACGCACTGTCACACGCATACGCGTCCTGCGCTGGCTCTCGGACGAAGACATCACCAACCTGCGAGTTCTCCGTGTTGGCGGTGGTGGTGCTGGAAGGAGGGCGGCTGACTTGGCGGAGGAATCCCCGCATTTCCGCAGTCCGTTCGGTATCTCCAGCCCGCGGTGCCGCTCACTCTCTCCTTTCCTATTTTCTAGTGGCGAAGCCGCGCGCCACGCTCCGAAGCAGAAAAACGCAGAGTGCGCAAAGCGGAGGAGGAGGACGGAAAAGCCTCAAAGTTGGGGGATCCCAGTGTCAGGGGAGAGAGGAGGAGAGAGGAGAGCAGCGCGTTGCAGAAATGGGGGAGATACAGAGCGAGGAACAGATTTCCACTTTCTCCCTCCTCTTCTCTCTTTGTCTGTCTCCCGCTCTGTTATCTGTTGCTTCCTGCCCATCTGACGGAGGCTTGTGATGCTCATCCATCACCCCTCCCTCACCACCACCCCCGCGCAGCATCCCGTCTCTCCCATTATTCCCTCCTCGTGTCTTTCCCCCCCCC